CCTTGTTTTTTTTTTTTTTTTTTTGTTTTTGTTTCGTACTTAACCCTCGTTGATAAGACGATGAACTCGGTCTGAATTAAAGATATTTGATATCATTTAACAGATATTTCATGTTCTGTTTGTGTGCACGGCCAGTAACTCGCAAATGCCTTCTATATTACATTTTATATTTATATAACAAATAATGCATTATCTATTATATAAATTTTTTAAAACACATTATCTGTAATTTTGTTTCTCAGACGATTTTTAAACTTTTTTTTATGCATTTCAATGTATACTCTACGATGTTCTACTATTGAAATTTGAATTGCTAACAATTGTGGTAAAAAAATTGAGTGTGTCGATTGTAGTATGCACGTGTAAAACTATATTGATCAACTGTTGTTCGGTCGTCGTGATGTTTTTATTATTTTTCCACCCCGATTCCCGTCTCTCCATCTCCCATTAGTTTAAGTGTACATAAAATAAATAAACTAAACAATAAATTAATATTTATCTGCATGATCATTGAAAGACAACCGATTATAGTATGGTACAACGGTTGTGCGTGGCCGCAACGGTCCTCTTTGGATTACCTAACTCTCCCTGGGCTTATCGTCACTCCGATAACGCAAATAAGAAGTCAATATCGAATCAATATCCTATTATTGACAATAATGTACCTATTATTATGATCGTAACAATAATAATTAATAACCGTCGTATTCGTAGGACACGTTTAGTGACTACTTCTAAATTCACTCCCCTATTACGATTAACATGTCAAGTACATATTTTTTACCTACCGTTTGCCGATAAATGATAATTTCTCGTATTATTATTACTAACAGCCGTTTTGGGGACTGTAGTTAAATTTCAACGAAAACGATCAAGGTGTGCACGAACGTAATAGAAACACATTAAAAAAATGTATGGACTATATTGTCTTTCTTGGGACGGTCTCTGCCAATTGTATTTTACGAAAATTAAAGCGACCGTGTCGTCTCATTACTGATACAAATAATGTAATTTAATGTGCCTGCTGAGCAAACACAGTGCACGTTGTGTGTGTGTTATACGCGGGGCGAGAAAAACTCGTGTTTCGGAATGTGATGTAGTGGTTTTAATGTATTGTATTTATGTATCCACAAGCACTCGCATTTTTCGTCGAGAGTGTATTAGAATTATTGTAGTTATTTAAAAAAAACTCTGTTAGAAATAAATCTACTAGTATTATTCTGATGGAGCAAGAATGGGTTCAAGTGTAACGTGGTGAAATTGTATCTCTATTACTGTCTTTTTAAGTATTTGTCGCATATTACGTATCCGTGTTTTGATTTTCATCATTTTTTATACCAATATAAAATTTACTATTTTTATACTAATTCTGACGTTTTAAACCCAATAAATACTACCGTTTGTACTTTAACTAAAAGTATTAAGACATTACTCTCTAGTTCCAAGAATAAAATAAAATTACCAATAAAAAACCATATTTGTGAGGTTTTTTATTCACTTATTTTTAGTAAGATTAGACTTGAATTTGATTTCGAATAAATATATAATAAATTTGTATTATTACAACTAAGATTTGAAAAAATATCATTTTTATTCTGATTTATTACTTTTTGTTGTTTAAATACTATTTAATTTGACGCCACATTTTCGTTTATTGTTTGTGATATTTCCCAGTTCAAATGATAATGTTAAGATAATATTCATTTAAAACGAATATTTCAATTTAAATAAAACCTTACAATCATAATTCGCTAATAGTTGAATACTCAGAAATGGCATATAAAAGCGTTGTATATCTATTAACCATTTTTTTATTCATATATTCTACTGATTATATTTAGACTAGAAAATTAGTCGTTAACAGTTTTCTTTCAATTTACTAACATACAAAACTATATGTTGTCATATTGGTAATCACATTTTTAAATCAAACACTAATCCCCTTTTGTGTATGTGTGTGTGTGAATGGTTAAAATATTAGTTAAAAAGTAATAAGTAATTGTATGTTTCTTACAGTTGAAAAACTTTAAAGGTTTTTTTTTTTTTTTGTAAAATATCATATGCAACAGTGTTCTATTTGCACACAAATTACTATTTGTCATGATGAATTAAGGTGAACAATTTCGACGGCGTATGTTTGAACCACATGTAGACAATTGTTTTTACTTTTTGTATAATTTTTTTTTTACGAAGGATAAAAACGTAACTAATTGATGACTGATGTGTGTCGTTTTTACATAAAAACGGTGTTTTTGCCTTCTTGCACCGACTTGAAAGAGATATAGATGTACATATTTCACGTTAAACTTGTTACTTATTAGACTGCACATTCATACAATCGAAAGTAATAGAAAATGTTGTACAAGTGTTGTTTTACTTGGACAATGGTTATAGAAAAAAAATTGTGCTAATACAATAAAATATCGACGTTTGAAGAATAAAGCCTTTTTTATGCGGCAAATATTTGATTTGATTGTTTTGTATACTAATTAGAATGTAAATAAAAAATATGGATTTTATGAACTATTTATGTCGTTTTGTTGATGATTTTCGTTGGGATGAGATATTTAATAATTTAATACAACACAGTATTTTCTAGAGAAATACTTTTTAAACAAACCATTAAATGTATATTGAGAAAAGTTATTATTATAGAAATTTGTTTATATGTTCTTTGACCTTGTGATATTTAAAAAAAATTACTTATATAGACTATTTTTTTTTTGTACGACTCGTGTTCGTAAATAGGTGCTGTATGAGAATAATTGTTATTTCGTCGGTATGTTTTAATTAGTTTTTTCGGTGTATCATAGCTCAGAATTAATTTGTTCGTTTTTTACCTATACAAACGTTTTCACCGACCTTAAGTGTACACGACAGTCTTGGCACAATTTATTATCAGTTTGAACCTGTAATTTTTTTGAAACCCGTGTATACATGACGTTTATTTTTTTATTAATCGGTAGCATGCACTAGTTTTGTCGTCGACGGCGATGGAGGTGTTGCTACACGTATTTAACTTGTGTAATTATTATATTTTCTTAGGTGTTGGCTTTGAACTTTTCCGTGTCTTTTATTGTATTTTTTATACATGAGATATAATTAATTCTTTCAAAAGCTGTGTGCTACTCGGTCGACGGTACAGACAAATACACTTGACTTGTTGTGTTGACGTTAACTTGCTTACATTTAGGCTACAAAAGAACCGCGTGTGTATGTTCCTCGACCACCTCCCTCGGTGAGTGTCACCGTACTGTGTATTTACGAGTGACCCGCTTATTGTTTCCTCGGTGCGTTTAACGCCGGCGATTCTTCCAAAGAAAATAAAGAAATCAAGGGGACCCGTCAACGTCTCGTCTAATAATCATTTGAAATTATGAAACGTACATACTCGGTTGTATTATTCTTAATAATGTGTACAGGTTTCCTTTTTTTTTTTATCGATTCTCTTATCGTTTGAGTGTCTGGTTTTCGACGACCTCTAAAGAGTTAGCGCATTATGTTTTACCAATATTACATTCAAACGCATAGATAAACCCATGTATGTTGGCGAATAAAAAAAAAAAAATATCGACACATTAAGCGATGTCGATATTATTTTTGTTTTATGTATTATTCTTCTTATTATGCAACTCATTCAACCACTCGAGTACGCATTTGTATTTATGCATTATGTATTATTATTTTAATGTATACAGCAATGTCGTTGGTAAGTGAACTCGTTCGGGCATTTTGCCTTCATCCAGATTTCTTTGATACAATGGGACACTCAAAGGTCGAGTGAAAACAAATAACAAAGTCGTCCCGACTTTGTCGTTGGCATAATACGTCATAGTATTCAGAAAATCATAACACTATTATGATTGTTTTTTAATCTGATAACTTGTATTATTGTAAGTTATGCCAACTTAATCAAGATTAACTAAACATAACGCATGTACATTCAGTATTCACTATTTACATGTTATTCTTGTTGAATGTTATTACTTATCTGGTCATCTCATTAGTTTTTTTGATTTTTTCAAATTGTAACTCTTCTCGAGGTTTTATTTTTATGTATCTATTTAACGGGCGAGTACGAATCGAAAAATAAATCTGCGAACTTTACGAGATGTTGGGATTTTAAGTGTATAATTATTTAAAGTTCGTTGATGTTTTTCTTAATTAATGACATCTTTAAATATTTTCAAAATTTATGTTAGGTTTTTTTATCATTTGCAGAAATATGTCAAATTTAAATTTTATTGCCTTATGAATTTTAAAGTTACTGTGTTTATTTTATGATCGCGGTAATCCACATGTTCATCATTTATCAATTTTATAAGTAAATATTAAGTCTACGTAGTTTTATAATTTTTTGATGACTAAAATTTTTGAAGACTTAAGTTTTTAACTCATATCTAACTTCTAATTTTAGGTACATAATTTTATAATTAAAAAAAATGATTTACAATGCTAGTTACATTATTTAACTGTTGTGTAGTAAAACATTAACCGAGTGAGTTAGCCACTTATACTAAGTATAGCTTGTTTTCACTCCTATTAAGACTTCTATTTGAAATTCTTTAATACCATCAGTTGGTTGACTAACATTGTTCATTCTCTTCAATGTTAAACTTTGTAAAGATAAACTAAGTTCAACGATGTATACTCGTAATAATAGTCTTCAAGTAATGTAAAGTTGACCTTCGATGATTTTAACTGATTACTATTAATGTTTTTCTCAACTAAGCGCTTAACCTACTCAAAACGCTTCGCAAATGTTTTCACACTTTTATCCTTGATCGAAGAAGGTGTTAATTAGTGTAAGTGCGTGATGATTTCCTATCAATGGTTTAATAAGCTACATTTATTTTTAATTAAAAACGTAGGGTGAAAAATTTTATTGAGAAAGCTAAATCTAATTTTCTTCCTATTTTAATGAATTTTTAAAACTTTTTGAGAGGCTAACCTTTCCTAGTTTCCCATCTTTCAATTAATATTTTTAATGAAAGAATTGTTATACTTCCCTACTTTGTTATTATTATTTTTTAACTATTGCGTCGCAGTCTTAATTTTTTTTGTGACACAACCTATGTAATTGTTATATTTTTTTAGCTGGAAAAATGAAGAAGTAGATAATAACTGTGTAGTCAGAGCCAGAGGTTTGCCTTGGCAATCCTCCGATCAAGATATTGCCAAGTTCTTTCGAGGCTTAAACATCGCTAAGTAAAGAAATTTTATTTTTAATTCAAAAATTGTTTTTATGTAATGATTTTATTATGCTTTTTGAATTTACAGAGGTGGCGTTGCTTTGTGTTTAAGTGCGCATGGTCGTCGTAACGGTGAAGCAGTGGTCCGATTTGTGAACCAAGAACAAAGAGATATGGCCATGAAGAGACACAAGCATCATATTGGAAGTCGTTATATTGAAGTGTATAAGGCAAATGGTGAAGATTTTATTAATGTCGCTGGAGGTATGCAGTATTTTAGATTTATATAAAATTTTCTTTTATTCAAAATAAAATTTTTACAGGCAATAGTAGTGAAGCTCAGGCTTTTCTTACCAAAGGTGCCCAGGTAATAGTAAGAATGAGAGGTTTGCCTTATGATTGCACGGCTAAAGATGTTGTAAGTATAATAGTTATTGTTAGTATTCTATAAGATAATTTATAAAACTTTTTTATAATATATTATTGGAAAAAATTCTTAAAAAGATTAAATTATGTAATTGTTATTAAAAATATTATCCTTATATTTTAGATCACATTTTTTGAAAATGGTGAACAAGCTTGTTCCGTAATGGACAGTGAAGATGGTGTTTTATTTGTTAAAAAACCTGATGGTCGTGCTACGGGTGACGCATTTGTATTATTTGCTGATGAAGATGATGCCCCAAAAGCCCTTAGTAAGCATAGAGATCTTATTGGAACTAGGTACATAGAACTGTTTCGAAGCACTACAGCTGAAGTGCAACAGGTTTGTATTTAATTATACAAATTATTTTTGATATTGGTTAGCTTTTAAATTATAAAAAAAATAGAAGTAGAATATTAAAGTTGTGATTATTTCAGTATTAAAAGAAAAGTGACTTATATAAAAATTTTACTTTGAATAACAAATAAAGCTAATATTTGTTTACAAAAAAAGTATGCCTGATTAAATTTGAGTGTGCTGTAAGAAGTTTTTTTAAAAATTTAAGAAATCTATAAATTGATAAATGTTCTAATTTTTTATATTACCAATGTTTATTTTAGGTATTGAATCGTGCAATGGATCCAACTGTACGATCTACAGCTAGTGACAATAATGGTAATATCACAACACCTGTGACAACTACAGCGGGTGTTAATAATTCTCCAACTGCACTTCTTGGCCATGTTCCACTCCTACCATTGCCACAACACGTGATAACCAGTGGAACAAGAAAGGACTGTATACGTTTACGAGGATTACCTTATGAGGCAAATGTTGAGCATATTCTTGAATTTCTAGGAGAGCATTCCAAAAATATAGTATTTCAAGGTGTACACATGGTATATAACTCTGTGGTTAGTAAATTTTTGTTTTTGTTGTATGATAAGTTGTTTTATATATTGTAAAATTCAGTTATTTATTTTTTATATTAAATTTAGGGGCATGCTTCTGGGGAAGCGTTCATTCAAATGAACAATGAAGGCAGTGCAGCCCAAGCAGCTATGGCAAAACACCATAACTATATGTCATTTGGAAAGAAACAACGATATATTGAAGTTTTTCAGTGCTCAGGGGAAGATATGCATCTGGTGTTAACTGGCGGAAGTGCAGCTACTGGTGCTTTGTCTCCAGTAGCCGCTAAAGCTCTATTATCTCCACCTGGTATGTTACCTGCACAACCTTTATTAACTGCCAGCCAGGTGTCCAACCCAGGTACCCCAGTTCCCACCTTAATGCCCGCTTGGGATCCCATGTCTGTTTATGCGCAAAATTTAGCCCAATCCTTAGCTTTACAACGCGCGGCTGTGGCGGCTGCACAGCAGCAACAGCAACAACAGCAACAGCAACAGCAAGAGTCATGGTTGTATCAACAATTAGCTCAACATAACCAATTAATTAATTTAGCTCTACTGACTAAACAACAACAAGATATTAATGGTAGTTTAGCCCATCAACCGAATATTCAAACTTTATTATCACCAAATGCTACAACTCAGCTTTTAGATAGTACTGCTCAAAATTATATGGGAAAGAGTGCTGCTAATCCATATATGTATTTCAACATGCCACGATTTCAACATAATATGGCACCTAAAACTTTTGTGCCTGTGTCAACTCCTGGGGGACAATTTGTTCTTCCTCAGTCGATTAATACAACTCAGAAGCGATCTTGGCAGCAAGCTTTTCCAGGCAGCCCAGATGGCTCCAATAAACGTCAATTTGCGCCTCCTGTTTCATCAGCAACGCCATCTATGTTTTCAATGGCTCAAACACCTAATGCAGCTGCAGCCGCCGCCGCCGCAGCAGCAATGGCTGCTCCTTATCTACAACATCCCCCGCAGTTTTATACTATTTAACCTGTTTTCTTTTGCACCCTGTTACCTTTTACAAACCTGTTAGTTATTGCTGTTAGTTTGACATTATATAGCTTATAACTGGGTACTTGGTTAGTGGTAAAAGGTTACACAAAAAATTTTTTTTTAATTATCAATAACAATATCCGTCCTTAGGGTTATTCATAATAACTTAAACAGACTGCACAAATCGTACTTAAAGCATTTTTAGCTTATAATAATTTACAGGGTATTGTTCGAATTTGTATAATACTTATTAACTAATTTTTAATTTTATTGTTTTAGTTAATTTTTAGTATATAAGACTAATATTTTTTTTTTTTTTTTACTAATACAATGTACTTAAATGTTTTTCCAATTTACTTGTGGAATCGTGTATAAATAAAGACCACATATGGTCTTGTGTTGTCAAATGATCTAAAAATCATAATTACATTAATTTGACTTAAATGTGCTTTAACATTCCTTTTTGACTTCTAAATATTCCATTTTATATAATTTTGTTATATTTTTCGTTTTTCACTCTTGATAGTTTTATAGGCCCTGTTACTGTTTTTTTTTTAATAATTTTGTTTTTTCGTTTAAATACTTGGGCTACCTTAATATTCATAAAATTAATGTTCTATTAAATTAGACATTTTTGTTAGCTATTAATGTAATATTGTTAGGTTTTTTCATTAATATAGGTTATATATATATATATTTATATAAATATGGTTTTTTTTTGTTAGTTACAAAAAATATTTAGATATAGATTTTTAAGTTGAATAATTAAAATTATAAAATATTAACATCATTTTACTCATACTGTTCAAAATCTCAGGCTTTCGCTATTTATAAATTTATTTCTTCTTTTAATTAATCTGTTATACAAACATGGGATTGTCTTTACTTAGATATTATTTTAAGCTTTCATGTAGTCAATTCATGTTTTGGTAATAGAAAACTTAGTGTTATATACATATTTATTTTTACTATCATATTTTTTTGTGTTAACTAGCCATTATCAAAATTGGTTCTAGGGATTTTGAGAGCTTGGTGTATTTTGCATGACCATTACATTAATTATTGTTGGCATATTTCACATTGTTCTGTTGTACATATCAAATATTTTTTATTTAACTTAATATGTGACTTAGTCACATTCAATTAAAATCTTAATATATGATGACTTTTATCTTAAATTGCTGATTGTCTTGAAATATTTTACATAAAAAATTTTCTGATATGTATCAGTAGCTTTTTTGAATAATTGAACAGACTAATAGTGTTTTTGAAATTATTTAGGGGTTTAATAAAGTTTTGACTAGAAATAAATTTATGGTAGCGAAAACTTAGATTTTTGCTACTAAAAGTTATTATATAATATTTAATTTATAAATTGCTGTATTTAAAATAGCAAAAATTTGCTATATAATTGAACTTTGTACAAATGTCCTATATTTTGGTGTGTTATGCATTAATAGTAATATTGATAACAATAATAGTAATAGAAAATATTATTTTTTATATATTAGTTGTTAATATATAAAATATACTGAAATATTTGCCTAACTGAACTGGTGTTGAAATCATATGTTTTATTTGCTTTACACTATTAATTTTTAGTTGTATACGTTCTGAATTATGTTTTATTAGTGGGAGACAAAAAGAGAAGTGCTATTGTCTGATCAGAAAGCATTCTTCTCTTCCTTAGCTTTTTATTTTTTAGTGTGTGTCATAGAATAAACATTTATTAATTATGAACTACTTAATACAGATCTTAATCTATTTACCCGCGGTATTTTACTAACTTAAAGTATTAATAAAATATAAATGGTGTTGCCTCCTCTACTTGATTTTGTTCTGCCAATTATTACAATATACATGCATGTAGATAAAATTATAAAGGTGTCGGTCAAAAAGTTTGATCGATGATGATTGATTTGAAATGATAATACACAAAATCAAACCTTTGTGGAATGTGATCATAAGAAGCTCAATTCTTTAATGGTGTGAGGTTTAGTCCTTGTTATTTTTATACAATCTTTAGTAGTATGGATAATGTGTTAACAGCTTTTCCAGTTTTTCAATGTAATAAGTGAGTTATTACTCATAATTAATGATTACCATCAGTTATGGTGATAGAATTAAACAAAACTCATGTTTTAAAAGGTTAGAAAATCATTTTGTCAAACTAAAAACTGCTTTCTAATAGAAATGTCTACCCTGTCAGCTGAAGATTCAGTGAGGAACTGACTTGATCACCAATGATAGCTTAAATATTTAACTTCATTTTTCTAAGATATGGTGGCTTTTCATTATTATTATTAGAAAAGAAATTAGATTTAACTTCGGTGTTCACATTTGGTAAATACATTTAGAGCACGGGGCGTATAAAACAAATTATATTGGTTGCTGGTGATTGGTGGTGTTATCTTTCTGGTGAGTTCGTAAAACTTATTTATATTTTATTATACATTTATATTTGCTTAATTCATATCCTTTCGCTTCAACAAAAACAAATCATTATCTTGCAAACCCATTCCATGCTTTAATTACAATTGTCTCGTTTTAAATTTTAAACTTAAATTTTATTATTTACTTATTAAAATTATTTTTACAGGTGGACCTTTGATGTCTTCTCCACCGTTTGTACCACCAACAACTAATTTCTCTCCATTTACAGGACCACCACCTTTAATTGGACACCAACCACCTCCCACTCTTGGTGCTCCTTATCCGCCTATATTATATTGGCCTTACCCATCACCCCCCATATCTCCTCCACATCAACCACCAGCTTTACTAATAATGCAAGGTACTCCACCTTTGGCTCCACCACCTTCTATAGATATGTGTAATCTCATACATTCAATGTCTGAGGTATGTATGTATTTATAAGTTTGTGTTGAGATAAATTTTCATTTTAATTGATTTTTTTTTTCAGTGGAATATTGATTATTTACAGCAAAATCCTCAATTTTGTGCTATGAACGTAGGTATGTTTGTGTAATGCACTTTTTAGTAGTGAACCTCATCTAATAATTAGTAATGATTCAATGATATGTTTTGATAATTTATAGGTCCAATGGGAATGCACTCAGCTGCAGCTTAACTTCCCTTTAAAATATTTGAATCAAAATGTTGATTCATTGATTGATTACCCACCAAAGACCAAGTCATATAGTAGCATTAGAAGGCCGTGTACTTAAAATAAATTTTTAGTTTTTTTTAAATACTATTATTTTTTCTCTGAAATATGATATTATGTTACTATTTTAAAACAATTTATTAAATTTTCAATGTATAAAGATTCTTAGAAAGTATAGTCAACAAATATCATAGTTGTCTTCCAAAAATAAAAATTTAGTTATAATATGTGAGTACATATTGACAAAACTCGCATCAATTAGTATGATTGTTTATTTTCTGTATGTTTGTATATAAAATGTTGTATTTATAACAATTGATACTTGTGAATTATACTTATTATAATCTCAACATAATTCTATTATTTTTACCAATTTAGTATTTTCATTTTATAAATTTTTAACTTTATGTTGCCTCCACTTAAAATTTATGTACTTAAAATTAATTTTAGTATAAAATTAAATTTCAGTTACTTGTTTTTGTTTTGTTTATTTTTTTCTTCTTTATGTATTGAAATTTGAAATTCAATCAAATTTTATTCTACTGGTTTAACAATTACATAGTAAAGTTCATAATATTAAAATAACACGCACACATTTAAAATAATTTCAGTGTGTTAAATTTTTTTATTCAATATTTTGTATGTTGTTAAAAATATATTAGAGTATATTAAATATTTTTCTCAAATCTTTGCACAATTAATAGTTATCCAAATTTAGGGCCAACATTTTTCTTGTTTTATTTTTCTAGAATGTAGTGAGATTAATTTATTTTTTCTATTTATTTGGATTGTTTATTAATTAATATAAAAAGCCAATTTTAGGTTAAAATCTAATTGGTGCTAAGGCAACATAATAATGTTAGTTAATGAATCACATTTTTATGTTAAAATTGTAGTATTCAGTTATAGATCTCGAACGTTCATTTTAAATTAAATTTAAAAAAACAATAGTAAAGTTTAAAATATAATCAATATAATATAAGAAGTGTTTTAGTGCAATCTTATATAATTTTATTTTTAATTTAGATCTCAAAAGTAAAATTATAGATATAAAAAAATTGTAATTGTTAGTTTCTTATTCAATAGAATTTTCACTATTGAATAACATGTTAAAATTGGACATTTCATTATTATTATTTAGTGAAATATTAGTGACAACAATAAATTAAGACATTTTTCTTCTATTATAATCTTATACAATGGCACAATATCAATTGGCTTAAATGATTTTATTTATAGATCTGATGTTCAATTTTAGTAAGTAATTTGTTAAAAAAAAAAATATATATATATATATAGTTTTGACTAATAAAAAGAGCAATATTTGTTACCACTTAAAAAAGTGAAAATTTTGTTTTATCAAGTAAATTTAATTAAATGTGGACATACAAATTGTAACTTAAGTTGTATTCATATATATTTATATTTACTTATACATTAATGCTGTTGATTTTTAAACTATTTATTCAATTCTATTTTTTAAGTTTTTTTTGTCTTTATAATTAAATGAATATAAAAACTAAATTTAGTAGTATGAAAAAGTTTGAAATATTTTGATAATTACTGTTGCTATTCAAATTATTAAAGTAAATTATAAAATTTAATTTGTTTTCATAAAATATTGAATTAAATAATATTTATCTAAACTGGTTTATTATCTTGTTATAAGTCTTACATAATTCAGTATTTGATTATATTTGTTGATAGTTATTGATATAATTTATATAAATCAATGAATAATCTTAATAGGTGTGCAAGTCACATTTCTAAAAATTAGATATTTTATTGTTAAGCAATCTTTAATATCTGCAATTTATTATAAAACAAATTAAAGAGCTCCATCGCCCCCAAAGAATATTTTTAAATCTATTATGTTATTAATTGTATCAACACTCAAACCTCTAACATTAAATATTTTTAATTAATATAAATTGTTTTTTAAATTCTTATTCGTGTATAAAAGTTAAAATTTTAAATATATTATAGTTATTATGTTATAAAATATTTTTCATTTCCAGAATAAATCTTAATAATAGTTCATATTTTGTTATTGTTGTAATCTTATGTAAAAAATTTTTTTTCGAATGTTAAGCAGTCATTTATTTTCTATGAGTTGTTAATTATTTATACATTAGGTTAAAAATATTAAAATATTGAAAGTTATAAAGCTTGTTATGAAAATTCATGATTCTAAACAAAAAGTTAATGAAATTCATTTACTTAGTAGTTTTTATCATAATTAAATATTCTACTTACTTAGTTGGTAATATAAAAATATATTTTGTTAGGTTGACCTCAATCTCTATTTTAGTCAATTATTAGTTTGTATTTTAGTTAATTGAATTTAAAATTATATTAATATTTAGAAATAATTTATGTATATTAAATATTAATTATATTACTGATATTGAAAATTAAATAAGAGTTTTAAAAAATAATTATCTGTATAATTTATTGTACTGAAAATCCTTAACTATGATTAACTTATATTATAACTAGTGATGGGCATAATCGAATGATGTCGATAGTCGAATGATTAGTAATCGAGACATTTTCATAATCGAGTGAATCTCTCGAAAAATCACTCGAAGTTAAAATCGTCTGCTCGTATGATAAGAATAATCAACTATTATTATTTATCGAGAGAATCGAAAAATTATACGAAATATGAATAAATATACCTATAGTAAATAATTATTAATTTAAT